TTCGACACGAAGGTGTGGCAAAGTTTGTGGATTTTCTTCCATATTTCCCCAGGGGGCAATAAACCTGCGCCTGAAATTGAAAGATTGGGACGATGTAACTATTGACGATTGTTACTTTCGCCGATGTCATCAGATGCTGTATCTCCCACCGAGCTAATTCCCCTTTTGCCCTATCGAGAGCCTTGTTTTAGGAGGGTGTCGGGTCTCCGTTAGAATGATCCAAATCCCCAGCAGTCGCTTAGGCTCATATTTGTCCACCCATTTGTACTCCAGATTCTGCGGCGCATGCTTCCCCCTGATTCCTCCCCATCAAGAAGACCACCGCTCTACTCTGGTTCACCTTCTGGCCCGACACCGTTCCAAAGTTCGTTAACACCTCCGTCGCCATCACTAGTTGTTCCTTCCCCTTCATCGGCGTACCCCAGGTACGCCGGCCGCCCTACACCTCTCTTCCTGATTCCCAGCTTCCTGCGGTTTATCTCTTGGCACAACGGCTCCACTACGTAGAGGAAGAGGTAAGGCGCGAGTGGGCAACGTTGTCGTACCCCCTTCTGCACTGCCAGGTATCAATCCTCCTTCCCGCAGGTGGTAGCAGACACCAGGCATAAAGCCAAAGTGGTCCTCCAAAATCACCTTGTAAATGTTTTTTTTTTTTTTTTTTGCCTGCTTGCGATCACTTTTGCCAAGACTGTATACACCGTACTCAGCAATGTTAATTGCTGGTAGTTCCCCAGATCCTTCTTATCCCCTTTCTTGTACAGCAGGATCGTCACCGTCATTGATATGCTTTGCGGCAACGCCTCCCCTCTCGTGAAGTTACCCACCAGCTCCATCAGCATTGGGTCAAGCAGGTCCCAGTTTCGCTCGAACAGTTATTTTGGCAGGCCGTCGTGGCCTGGCGACTTCCCCGGCGCTAGCTCCCGTACTGCTTTCCGCACTTCCTCCTCAGACCAAGGCGTGCTTTTGGTCTAAGCCTCCGCCCCAGTGCGGCTGAAGGCATCTCGGAAAAATTCTGTCCCCGCCGTAAGGACCTCCCTCACACCTGAGTAGTTTACCCCACGCAGAGATACCTCCCGGATGAACGTTTTTGCCTCCCGCGCCCTGATTTTTGCAGATAGTTTCCCGATGCCACCTCCTCGTCCAGCTCCGCTTTGATTTCCGCCCATGCCTGCAGCTTCCCCTTGTGGCTTTTCTCATACGCACTAGCAACTCCTCTTTCCTAAGAAGAATCCTCCCCGTTCATTGGCAGTTTGGGTACCGCATAGCCCGGTGCCAAAATTGCTACATTTCCCGGGTGAGGTGAGCTCTCGTTGCATCCGCTCGTTTTATCTCTTCCGGTGAGTAAGCTTGTAGACAGGATGTCAATCTGAATAGTAGATTATCAAACTTGTCGTCGCCCCTCTGAGCACTTTCCGCACGATTTTACTGGCTCCTTTCTTTTTCGCTTGTGCCGCTCGCAGCCTCCAGATGCTTGGGCCTTTCGCTACTGCTGCTGATGATTTCAGAGAGACCGCCACTGTACACCAATGATTCGTCATTGTATTCGTGATCGCCACGTGCTTTACCTCCGCCAGCCTGCTCAGCAAGGGCAGCGACATAAAGGTGTATTCGCGCTTGTCCGGGTGCATATTGCCAGAGGTCTACTGGTGATCCCCGATTGATCCTAGGGAAGGGTTACAGGCACGTTGGCCTGGGGGGTTATGGGCGCACTCACCCGCTACATAAACAAGCCCTTTTATCCCAGTGGTTAGTGACTAAGATTTTTGACATGGTATCAGAGCAAAGGTCTCGGGTTCGAATCCCAGTATGTGCACCTCGAGCATCCCAGTGCGGGGGGGTGTTAGAGGTCCACTGGTGATCCCCGATTGATCATAGGGAAGGGTTATAGGCACGTTGGCCTGGGGGGTTATGGGCGCACTCACCCGCTACATAAACAAGCCCTTTTATCGAGTGGTTAATGACTGGGATTCTGACACATATAACGGAAGTCATCCTTCAGGTGTGTGTTCGCCCAGCACTATGTGGGGTACGATCTAGATCCAGGTCTTCTACCACATTCAAGTCCCCAGCACCATGACGTTCGGGAGCCCCGGCAGGGTCAGCAAGAAGGGCTCCATGCAGTCCCTGTAGAAGTTGCCTTTATTGACCGCCTGCGCCAGGAGGTACGCAGCCACCAACTGTAGCTCCAGGTTAACCCAACGTACCACTACCGCAAGGAGCCTCCCTGAGTCGTGCGTGAAGCTGTACGAAACAAAGCTTACTATTGCAACACCTCCTGCTGATTGATTGGGTCCTGGTCCTATTGCCGCTACTGCCTTCAGTTTTATATGAGTCTAGAAGTTGTGATTCGCATGAATCCTTGTGTCTGTTATTACGGCCACATCCGTTTCTTTTTTCATCTAGTCTTTGCACTTCTTCCCCAAACTGTCGAGTCTGTTGATGTTGATCTCGCATAAAGCAATTGTGTGTGCCTTATTCATAGATCAATAACTGAGGAGCCCCTTCGCATCCACGAGCTGAGATGACACATGCAACTACCGACGCAGGTGAGCCGTTGAGATCAGCCACACCGCACCCCACCATAATGCTACGCAAGAGGGTTCCAGGCATGTTGTACCCTGACCCTTGGAGTAAAATTTTCCATACCCTACTGAAAACAGCCTAAAAACTTCTGTACAGTGATTTTGTCAATGTAACTTTGCAGTTAGGCATTTTACTATGTATCTTGACAAGGCTTCAAATGTGAAATAAACAAGGAATGAGAATGACTAAGGGAATGTTGGGGTACAAATACAAACCCTAGGAAAACTATACCCCATATGTGCTACCCCACTATAGCCTACAGTATCTATGTCATAGAAATCTGACACACCCCCATAGGCAAAGTGGGGGAGAACAAGGGGTCACAAGACCAGTCAAGCAAAACAAAACAAGCTCAGGGTGGATCACAAAGTCACCACACATTCCGAGCGCAAGTTCAAGGCCACAAGGCCAGTTCACATGCAGGAGTACACATATATATATATAAAGGCTAGACAAGCAAGAACAGGTATATATATATGTAACAGTACAAGCAAGGTCAAGAGGTGAGCAAGTGAGGCAAGGTAGGCACAAGGCCCAGCTGAGTACAGAAGCGCTGATGGTCACAAGGCACAAGCGCCTTGGTGAAGATATCAGCAGTGTTGGCCTCAGAGGCCACGTACGCAAGACGCAGCTGACCACGCTGCTGCAGCTCACGAGCAAGAAAGTAGCGGAGAGCAATGTGCTTCGTTCTGTGCTCCAGTCGCTGCTCCCGACACAAGGCCAGCATGGCCTTGTTGTCTACGTACAGCACTGGAGGAGAACGAGGCAGCTCTCCGAGGTCAGTCAGCAGGTAGGTGAGCCAGCGAAGCTCCTGTGCAGCCATGGCTCCTGCGTAGATCTCAGCCTCACAACTGGAGCCGAGAACAGAAGACGAGCGGGTAGCCCGCCACGAAACAGAGCCGGAACCAAGGCTGAAGGTGTAACCCTGTGACGACCGCTGCGTAGCCTGGACGTCAGCCCAAGAAGCGTCTGCGTGCCCAGTAAGGACCACTGGACTCTGCCCTCCAAGCACAAGCCCCATGCCCGACGTACTGCACAAGTAGCGCAACACCCTCTTCGCTGCAGCCATGTGCTCCGGTCTGTGTCTCCCAGGAGCAACATAGCGTGCAAGAATGCTAAGAGGGTATGCAAGGTCAGGTCGTGTGCAGGTCATCAG